TGCCTCTGATGCCAACGCCATGACATGAGTACATGACATGAAACTCTACAAGGTGTTAGGTAAATGGGTATATGAGCCGACACTAGCCCATGTTAACATGGTCATAAAAATGGTATGGTGAAGTCAGAAAATTGATATCTTCATTTTAATTATTTTATTTTTCATACAAATCTGATTAAATAAAATTTATTTTGTATGAAAATTAAAAAAAATAAAATAATGATATAAAATTTCTGACTTCACCATACCATTTATATGCCCATGTTAACATGGGCTAGTGTCAGCTCATATACCCATTTACCTAACACCCTGTATAATGAAAATTACCGTTTTCATGAAAGAGTTGCATGTCATGCCTACCGGCACCCATTGGGTTCTCCTACCACGTTGCTAATTTTTTTTTTTTTTTTTATGTGATAGGAGGCAAACGATTGTATAAATATAATGTGGAGATTGTAACAAGTTTTGAATGTTAACTAATTTTGCTGCGCAGAATGCTCTACCGGTGTTGGGTAAAATGGTGGTAAGTGGGTAATGGAAGCTCTTGGCCTGTATCTCACCTGATGGTATCGGTAAGCATGATTATTTAATAAGGTTATAAAATATGGAAGCTGATTATCTTTTACGTATCAACCGTCGCACCCAACAGATTCACCAAAATCACAATGGCGGAGTTTAGGTGCGCCGGCGCAGCGCGTACCAGGCACGATTCGCCGCAGCCGCTCACGCGACTTACAAAAACAATAAACAAGAAGAGTTAATTTTTCCTCCTCCGATTTGTGAAGGTCCTGTAGTAAAAACATATCAGCTCAAATTAATAGTAGCAAAATATTCTAAACAGTTATTGCATTTGCCAAATAAAACGAAATTATATATAAATAAATAGACATCCTTTATTAAAGAACATATAAAGTACAACTTTTAAGTATAAAGTACGTCTCTACCTCCGCTTACAGTGTAGTAACTGCTCCTTAAATTTCAAAATATTTAAGTCACCCTTTGCAACTTTAAAATAACACCGTTTCAAACACTCATTGTTTAACAAGGCTAAGCCAACATTTGATAGAAATAAAGAGAAGTGAATAGAGTAGGTAACATAATTATTTGTAAGAGAGAGTAATGGAATAAACCCTCCCCAAAACTAAAATCCTTAATAAGAACGGAATTGGTTTTGTTGACAACAATGTAGTATGTTATTTGATGTTTAACATGAATGAATACTTAATAAACAATGATAACTGTGTAGCAATTTAATATCTACGCCAATACAAATTATAGGGGCATAAGCCGATTTGCAGTGAATAAATAAAACAATCAATAACAATAAAAAGTAATAGCCTTGATTAAGTTATTACTGAGAACTTTTTTATGTAAAGGTTAAGTAATTTAGTTTATCATAACGCCGGTATGAAAACGTCAACGCTATAGGACAGTTTCGACGAAGGCGTTTTATGCTTTGTATTATGTTATACTCCATATTTATTAAAACTTACCCTAACAATACTTCCACCTTAATAATTTACTCTGTTTCTACAAGCAATAGCCAAGAAAAATAAGGAACTAGTTATTTTATTAATGAATATTAGTATGTATTTTAAAACTTAAGCTTATTTATATACAAAATAGCAAGGCATTAATTTATAAACATGGAATGAAAAACATAATTTCGTATTACATCATCGGTAGCCTTTGTGATACTTATAAGATATGTAAGCGTCGACGCCATGAAGTATTCCCACCACCACTCCAATATACTGAAAAAAAATGTAAAGAAATGTATAAATAAAAACAATAAAATATGAAAATAGTACATTGTAATTTATTATTAACCAGACGCCATAAAAAAATCTTATTATACGAGTATGTAGTATAAAATTTGTAAAAAAGGCAACAGTCAAAATTGAAAAATAGTTTTAGGTAGGTACAATTGATATTTTCTAATAGAGAGTGTTCAAAGAAGCAAAATCATTATTTAAACTTCGAATGACAAAACATTTTTACAATCGGTAATGATGATGTTCACAAAAGCAAACAGTTGCCACCTCCTCCTGCGTATTACGTATCCTGTACAATCAGGAATTTTTAACATTATTAAAAAAAAAATAGTTAGGTATTACTTACTCGTAGTGAATTCTGGGTGGGTTTAGGGAAATACAGCTTTAAGGTCTTAAGAACTCAACGAGCTATACTAATTTGTTCGTCCACCTCGCTAATCGCTATGATATTAATTTGTCTAAACAGACGTTCTGCAGACTTAACTAGTTTCTTTAAGTTGAGGATTTTACCTATGACTGAAGAAGTAGTGAACGACAGTCTAGAATTTTATAAAACAATGCCTGAATAGTCTGATTAACATCGCCTTGATTCCATAATCAGATGACAAGAAATCTGTTAGATCAAATATTATGATTAGGCCTATTTGATATTATTTTTATTTGATCTAAGAAGTAGATTGCGTTTCTTGTCTGATGACGAACTTTGCTATCGCTACGTATATCGAAAGAACATTTAAAGAAAAAATGATTTCAGTTGTTATTTCAGTGCTTTTTGCGCTTTATCTATTGCGTAATTATAGACGGTAGTTCTTGAGACTTATATCAAGCCTAAATCATTTAGCTACTGTTTTAAAATACGTTTCAATTCTGACACTCACGTATACAGCAGTCATCGCAGGATATGCGGAGTACATGCTCACCAAAGCATACTTCGGGTATAGATAAATATTCACTGCAACACCCATATACGACGATGCGGAGAGATATAGGAAACACGCAACCCCATTAAACAGGCATTCCTGAAAACAAAAACATAATACATACCTTCAATTGTTTTATTTTTTATTTACAAGACTACAAAATATTGTGCCTACACGTAAAATTAATGTGGGAAGTTTTCGTGATAAGTTAGACAGTCGCACGTCCTTAAATCTATTAAGTTATTATCAAACGTGAGACTTCTAGAACAATAACTGCGAACAATCACGCAGTCATGAATGTAAGAATGCCTTGGATTGATTTGTATAGAGACTCAAATTAAAATACCATGTCCAAAGTTTCTTGAATGTCAAAAATCTTTGCCAGTCCAAAGAATAATTACCTATGCATTATTAATAATTATAGATATCTGCTAAATATGTTTAATTCCGAATAAGTGCATCGATAATAAATACAATCGAAAAAATATACATCGATCACGATTTTACTAAAGATCAATTAATCGATATGTGACGTGTCGATGATTTAAACGATATAAACTTTGATACGTTTATGTCAGTAATCTTTTTGGAAAAAAGTAATACTTGGTCTATAACAAACGTAAAATGTAGATGTAAAAAGGCTGTAAAGTCTGATTGTATAAATTTACTAACAAATTGTTGGACTTACGAAGATAGATTGCCGTATGAGCTGCTGTGTGTTTGATGAAAGGACGTAACTCGCAATGAGCAACGCGGTGGTGAGCAAGCAAGCGGATGCGGTCGTCAGGAAACCATGGAATGCTGAACCCATGCTACCCGCCTCTGACATTCCATATTTAACTAACAGACTCTGGCATAGACCACCTAGCATCTGGACAAGTAGAAAATTAGTCATTAGCACATACTTTTTTTATGTAAGTACTGAAAGTAATTTTCCCAAGATTCCTGCAACAAAAACCTACTCAAGAATTATTTATCTTACTTTAGAAGTATCGGTAGTTTTTCTCTAGCTTATAGCATTTTCTAACTTATTGCCAATGCTTTGTTGCATTAAATTATGCAAGATTTGAACATTGTTACATTGGTTTTCTAAAGTCATTAAAATTACTTTCTACTGACAAAGCAGTTCTTTTGACGGAAAGTTTTAGCGCAAACGTCTTTGTTTCTTCCTTTATTTAAACAATCATAACCATTGATTTTCTTGATGTGTGCCGAAGCTATGTCATTTCAACACAAAAGAAGACAACCAAGCAATTTTAGTCTTCTTATAACTTATGAAACGACTTTGTTTATGTTTGTTGTGAGTGACACACAATGTAAAGTCTTTACTTTTGTATAATAAAATATTGTTACTTACAGCTTCTGCCAGTTTGATGAGCCCATGCTGCGTTGTGAGATATCCGAGGTTGAAGCACTCACAACACCGACAACAGCAACATTTGATGCCTTTGGCGCCGCCGACGCCGCTTGGGGCTACTCGTACAATGGTAGGTCCTCGAGTCATTATTTTATTTTTCACAAAACAAAACACAACACCGAAATAATTTAATTTCGTTCGATATTTAAAAGAAACACAGCAAGAGCCTCACGATGTCTATCCCGTTGCTAACGTTTCTACGATTTCACTGTACCCATCCACATCCCATCCCACAGGAAGTTCAGGAGAGTTTAAACACTTCACAATTTACACGGTTAGCGTTAGTCACAACACAATATTTTTAGACGTTTTGCGAGCACACTAATAAAAGTTCAGCGCACTCGCCCTGTCCCAAATACTTGAGAGATGATGTAGGTCGCCTATCACCTTTTATTCAGATCACCCAAATAAATTTGGAAAGTATAAGTAGGTACCTCCTAATAAATGTATCCCATTCAAACACCAAAGAAGGAGTAAATACATTTGTCTCGTGCCGGGCGGGATGCGTGTGCGCAGCTTTTAAAAATAGAGCGGCGCGTGCGCCGTGGAGGGTTGTATACTATTTCTGGGCTTCTGTTTTTAATGAATGAATGGGGTTAGGAATATTACTGTAAATGGGAGAGTGAATACTGTTTGGGCGCATTATTGACTTTAGTTTAAATAGACGGGCTCAATTAAAAATAAAACAATATCATCGAGGTACTCGTTTTATATTAAATTAAAAATATACTTACATATAAGTAAAATGTACTTATTTGAAATACATTCAAAGCGTTTTAAAAAAGGTTTATATAAATACTAGAAAACTTACAACAGTTACAAAATGCTAAAATAACAAATTATGCACAACAGAGGTTATTTTGAAGAATAAATTATTTTTTTCCAGTCTGCAAAATTCTTTACGTTTTTTTTGACCGTGTCCATTTTCAATAACATCACACTTTTTTTCGTAGTTTTATTTTACAAACTAGTTAATGTTAAATATCGCATGACACTAACTGAAATATGTACCTATTGCCAAAATATAAAATATCAAAAACTGCGTGTACGCAGATATAATATTTTCCTTACAATACAAATGGTTCGAAATTCGTTGGAGTAAACCCACAGTGTGGTTGGCGCTACAATGCATCGTATTACCTTGCCGCTAGATGGCGACTTAAATGAGTATGTAAGTACCTAAAAAATAACTAAACACTAAAATTATTCTTCCTTTGCATAAATACACAGAACGGCATAAGTGTACCTAAGGCAATGATTAAAATTGTTTAGAAAACTAACTACACTACGCCCGTCGTAACTACGCTGTCGTCGCCGTCTGTGTGGTAGAGTCTTTAGATTTGTGTATCAAATAACCAACAATAAGTAAATATAACACAACCCATGTCAATATGGAAGATTGAATATTTTATAACAGTGCATTAATAAATAAGTTTTAACTGACATAATGACTAACTGACTGTCGAGAGTAGGACAAACAAAACCAATGTTAGATTAACAGAATTACTAATTAATTTAACAAAGAGTGGTAAAAGCTGGATAAACGGCAACGTACTAAAGTATTAGGTATCACATTTGACCAATAAATAATGTTTCTTGAGAATAATATCCATATTGTTTAATATGTCCTAAAATCTAAAAAAAGATATCAAAATGAGAATGTAGAAATAGCTTTCATATTATGTTCTCTTTTTTATAAAAATATGTGTTTATTTCATGTCTATGAAAAAGAGGTCGTTGCACCTGACCTATAAATTCATTTCCTTAAAACTATATGGCAGACAAGTTATAAATGGTAGACATCAATAAATATTCTATCACTAAGTAAATGGCTACATTTAGGCAGGATTTGACCAAATACAATACATGAGCCTACCTGTGTAGCCCCCACGTCCGCACCCCAAATTCTCTACCACGTGAATCTAGGGCGGATTGGTGGAGGTGGTAGAAAACTGACTGATGTCATTAAACCGCCTTAAGGCCTCTGACTAGGTTTAACGACTAATCCACAAATATCCGTAAAAAAAATACAATTACGGGACTATTCCCACGTCTCGTTTAACACCTCTGTAACTCCTGTTTAGCCAGGATCTGTCCTGTTATCCCGAAAAATGACAATAACGTAACATATATCTATTTATATTGTAAGGTTTATCTCTGGAGTAATTAATAATATTATTCGAAAGATAAACTTAAACGAATTAATGAGTTTGATCGAATCCATCCTTTAGCTTAAGTGTATTTCCCTTTCTTCCTGAATGCTTAAATGCCGCGGTAGGAACGATTGGCTAGGAACGTGCTGAAAAGGTACAGTACAGCCATGATGAGACCCATAATCTGAAAAAGAAACAATAAACTTTAAGTAAGTACATCACGTGGAAGAGCAGGTTTGTCAAAGAACTTCTAAACTCTAAAGTTCTTTAATTCTATGTAATTCATCAGAGGAGAAAAATTGAGGAATAGATTAGAAATCATTTTATGGCCATAGTTCCTAAGAACTACCTAGTTAATATAAGGGAGAGTCCGCTAATTTGGACCAGTTTTTTTCAATCCCATTTTATACATAGTTTTCTTTTGTTTTTGCTAATGTCCATGGTATATATTAAAAGATACATTATTCAACTTACTATTTCATAAGTATTAATTAACATGATTGTTGTATATTTAGCACAAATCAACAAAGTACGAGTTCCGAGCTTCGGTCCAATTTAGCCAACCGGTTGGATAATTTGTACCACAGGGTTACTAAATTGAATTTCAATAAATTTCTAGCCTATAAAAAAACTATGGCAAAATATTATACGATACATTCTTAACAAATTAGGAAACGAAAAGGAACAGTAGTTAATAACATAGACAATCGATATTGTTTTACACGTTATCACGATTTTGAGTACAAGTTTTGTAATTCCAATTATCGTAACGCACACTTGTACCTAATCTACTTTGCCAGTCTTTTGCTTTCATTTATTGTTAGTCAAACATAACTACGCTATTATAACTTCAAAATATGATTTACTAAAAAAAATTTCAAAATCCTTTGGTAAAGTTCCATACAACTTGATGTGGTACAATTTAGCCGACTAGGTGATAGTGCTTTTAAAAAATCGGCAAAAAATATAGCTTATAAATACCGAAAAATGTTTCAAATAATTGTAATCCACACTAATTTACGCTTCTAAATAATATATTAGAAACATCCTTTGTTTAAATTTAACAAAATTACAAACTAAACATGTATTGTCAAAAGTTACTTGAAAACAATGAAAAAATACTTTTCAAAATAAAACACACGTGTTTGTTGTCACGGCAAAAACCACATGGCCGATATTAATTTATTTTAGTTGTGTATCGCTGAGTGTTGCAATTACAGACATTCAATAAATACTTTACGAAATATGAGGGTGGTACAATTTACCCGGCGGTACAATATACCGAACTCTCCCCTATTGTGTGATCTAAGCAATGACTCTACACTATCTATAGGGAAGTAAAGTCTCTGTCTGAACGGGTAGGTTAATACCACTTTTTTGGAAGGACATAAATGAATTTTATTAAATTTTTGTGCTGTCTACAGTCTACATCTCCTTGCATTTTCAACGAAGCCTTTTGCAATTCAAGCAAAAGCTAGATTTTTAAGCAAAACTACTTACATAAATATTAATGACTTACCGACGCAGCTAAATAGGGCTCGTAGTTTCTGCCATATGAGTTCTTGTAATGGTTTACTTCTATAATAAGCGTAAGTCCTGCTGCCAAATATAGGAGGCAGGCCAGCCCATGGTATATAACCTCCTGCAATGCAAAAAATAATTGAAGTCGTAAAATTTCATCCATATTATTATCCATAAAATAAAATATAAAAAAATACACTCGAATTGAGAACCTCCTCCTTTTTTTTTAAGTCGATTAAAAATACTATTAATGTACCTACATCTAAAGAAAACGTATCGCTAAATGGTCCCCTTTAATGATTGAGGAAGAAAAAACAATTTTTAATTTAAAGGCTGGTAAACCAGCAGCATCGATATGTTATTAGGATATTTTGTTTTCGGGCAACTCTGCCTGAAAAGTCGCAAGTAGTTAGAATATACAGGGTGGAAACGTTAAGTGATCTCACTCGATTATTTCTAAACTATACAAGATATTAAAAAACTGGTTACTGATCCTGAAAGTGGTTCATGAGCTCTTTCAAACGGTACCAATAATAGGTTACAGAATAAACTGGATCTATCTGAAAATTCAATGTTTCCAGCTTCCATACTAAATGTATGCCAGACACACAATATTAGAAGTGTATTTTTTTATTGAATAATAAACTCTTAAAATAAACTCGTAAATTGTATTCTTCTTTAAAACTATTCATAAAAAACATTAGTTTTTAGGCTTTACTTGCTATAATATTGTCAAGTGTCATGACTGTGGTAGTACTAAATGTATGGAAGAAGGAAAAATTGAATTTTTTGATAGATCCCGTTTATTTTGTAACCTAATATTGATACCATTGGATAGAGCTTGTGAAGCACTTTTAGAATCAGTAATCAGTTTTACGATATCATGTGTAGTTTTTAAAATAATGTGACTTTACTAAATGTATGGAAGCTGGAAACATTGAATTTTCGGATAGATCCAGTTTATTCTGTAACTTATTATTAATACCATTTGATAGAGCTCATGAAGCACTTTCAGGATCAGTAACTAGTTTTTTGATATCATGTTTAGTTTAGAAAAAATCGAGTGAGATCACTTATCGTTTCCACCCTGTATACTTACATAAACAGTCTTGGAAATAATGGAGGCCGTCGACAAGGACGCGAGGCACGAGACGACGAGGCAAAACGTGCCGATGAGGAAAGCCACAGCCACCAGCAAGTAGAACAGCTCAGCCTTGGGCGCCACGTGGTAGTAGGGCCCGTGGTCCATGTAGTATGCCATCACACCCACGCATGCTGCACCCAGCAACTGTAAAGAAAAGCCAATTTATGAATTTAATCGCTCCTTTTTTCATATAAATAATCGCCATTAAATGAATTTTTATCCTTGTTTATTAAATATTTGTACTTATTTTAAGGGCTATTAACCTGGTGGCAAAATTTAATGATTTTTGGTCCATTTCTGAATCCCATATTAATGTCTCTTTACATGTCCATCGTATGAACATCAAGCGATATTGAAATCATTTGCCAAGACACTTAACAGTCCTGAATTATTCATACAAGGGCGAAGTTCAGCACAAGGTCATTTTGTGGAAGCAAATGACAAAATAACCTACTACCTACACTTATACAAGAGTCGTTTTATGAGTTCTCCTCATTGACTTCGTGTGTTATACTTATAAACGAGTACGTCAGAATGTTTCAGAATCTCAAAATAAAGCACGCTCCGCTAAGAGTGCACCAAGCAGTTCATTTCATCTTCTGGTAGAGATCAGATTTTTCTGTTCTCAATTTAATGCCGAACATTTTATAACTTGTAGGATCTTACAGTTTCTGTTAAAAACAAATGATGAATAAGGAATTAAAGATTATTTGTTGTTGCCATTAATAACAACACAAGTAAATAACGCAAATGGCCTGTGGAAATGGCATACCAAAACACGATTATGTATAACATTTGATAAAAAATTCAACGTTTTAGGATTTGGTCACCTTCCGCTGAATATATTCACACTCTACAATGGCAGTGACGCGAGGTGATGTCATCACATCGCGGGTGACTCAAGGAAAACGCTAATATTACTCTTTCTGATAACGCTTTTCATGAATATTACAATGAACACTATATTAAAACACTGTGTAGTGTAACTTAATCATTGCATTTTAGGTATTTATTTATTTAACAGTTGGAACAAAGCGTTTAATTTGAAAGAAAAGTTCTCCTTTAAGTATCTGTAAATTATAGCATTTAAATGCCACTTTTATAGTCAATATTAAGCTGTATGTATGTATTTACATAACAAAGAGTTAAAATGATCAATCGGAGTTTTCATCAAAATCTTTCTTCCCACAAGAGTTTTATTGCCACAGTATATTGCCCAACATCGCTGTTGACGTAATCGAAAGTAGGTCACTCCGCACTCGCCTGAACCAAAATATTCAAGGAACACGCTACGCTTTTCTGGACAAGGTTGTAAACATAAAGCAACGGCATGTAAACATGAAAGACGACATAATTTATAATACATCTGCAATTTTAGCCAATACAATAATATGTACTTAATATAATAGATTTAAACCAAGAAAGAATGATGTTCTTTATTTATTTCAGGATGATCAAATGAAAATTTCTTTCACCATTTCATAACATAAGTTCAAATCTGACTGAGTTTGACTCTACATTTCATCGTAAACGTTCGATCTGAGATCCTTATGAATGAAAACAACTTAATAAAGTTTTTCTCATTTCTTTCTAATGTTTTTCCACCTCTGTTCATATTAATGATACTTACTAATTGTGCTAATTTCAGCAGGCCAGGAGTCGAGCTGAGGTACCCGCTGTTCACATAAACCGCGTGGCCGGACGACACAGCCGTGGTCCGCGTAATCGTCACCGTGTGAGACATGGCTTAGCTGGAACATAAAGTTTGCCTAATTAGTCAGGTAAGCAACATCACTAATATACCTACCTACTTATATTGTCAAGGTAAATGTAAACAGGATTTGTAAAAATCCAAAAATGAAACGATCAGTGCAACGAAAGAACTGACTTTTGAAACCATTTTCGAAACTATGGAACAGAAGTTGGTGCTACATATTAATGTTTCCCAAACACCGAGTCCAAGTTTCCCGAACACTAAGATTTTACCATTAATAAAACGGCAAAATTTACACCAAATTCTAATAAACAATGTAACAAAACCTAATTAATGCTAATTTGAAAAATAGCACTAGGCTTTTAACAACTTATGTATGACCGACACGGTAACAACAATGCTGTTTGCATACTTATTGAATGACGTTGACATTGACGCCATCTGTAGGTCCACATCTGAGGTCACATCGGCGAATCCAAGGCAAGAAGGTGACCACGACTCGTGGAAATTTAATAAATAAATGACAGACGTGATGTGATAGTCATTTATTTCAAATAGAAGAAAAAACAACTTGTGATTCGCTGTTCCAAATGAAAAGACCTCTTATTATTATAATTCTATTCATGAAGAGAACGAGATCAATTACTATTAATCGGCTTCCGCCTCTATCATCATATTCGATCAGGGTACATAATATTATGTCATATCCATATTTTCACGTCAATCCAATTTCAGGAAAAGAAAGAGAGGGAATTTAACTACCTACTAACTGACACAGGGACAGATTAACATTTTAATAATAGCGTAATTTAACCTTTAGGAAGAATAAAGAATTCAACGCACGCAAGGAAATCTGGCATTTCAAATTATGGTCATTTAGCGTTACCGTGAAATTTTATAAAAATGGGTGCTTAAAAAACTCAATTTCCGAAAAAGGATGCGTAGGATAAGGACAACTGGTCGGCGAGGCATGACGCCTGCGCAGTTTGTGGGCCGAGGTCGTCTGCCCTCGCGCTCCAATGCGGGCTCGACAGCCAAGTAAAATAAGTATAATAAGTAGGTATAGCATCTTGATTCATAATGTAAATAAAATTACGCGTCCGGAAAAGTGTCATAAGAAAACGCGCCCCTCCGGAAACAATAGTTGTTCTTTCGTTTCGTAGTCTTTTGTTCGTAGTCGTTGTCGTAGTCGTCGTAGACGACGCTTCAAAATCCGAAATTCACGCGCCTCAAACCAACAATATAATCATTAGTTTATTAAGTCCTTCCATCAAAAGAAAAGTATAGTACCTAATAGATAAATATTTTGTACCAAATATCAGCAATCGGGCATCAACCCCTCCGTCGCGACACCATGTCTAGACAATATACCCCTCCGATTTATAACTTAGGGAAAGAAAGTTTTCCCTTTTCAGTGCAGTGCGTATTTGATTAAACAGGTAAGTTAAAAGCACTATTTTTCTTTATCTCGTGTTTAGTAAAATTTGGCAAATAACTGTCGTCACAGATTCATATTGCTTTAAGTACAATCGTGGGAAACGCATTTCGACAGCTCATCAAAAGTAAGTTTGTTGATTGGTGATGTCAACCATCCAATTAACACGGAACGAAAGAAACTCGACACAGGTAGGCACGACACATACATCTCTTTCTTGAGTAAAGAACACCGACTAATTTATTGGCACTCTATGTATTAGTATTGGTAACCTATTTTATAATGCTCTCTCAACTGATATGATTAAAATGTTAATGGCTCATTGATTTGACTTTTCAATGATTCATTCGACAGTATTGTAAGACCAAATTGGTATCGATATTGATATTAAAATTCCAAATAAACCTACCTTGATAATTATGGTATTTTTTCTACGAAACTTCAAAGCTGATTATAATAAAAGCAGAAAACCGATCGCAAACAAACAACACTATTACTCACAAACTTCAATGTGTATTTATCTACTGGTGAACGTTTACTTATCTAAGCACTCAAACAGTTTAACTACAATGAATGGTTTTAGTAAATTGATAAGACTGGTGACTCACCTATAATAAAAAGTTGTCCAAATTGAGAAAATAAACTATAATTTTGAATCACAAAAATCCGCGCTTCGCGGAGCGAGCTCAAACGTCGTCAACTGTGGGTGCACTGTACGAGTGTAAGCCATACACCGCGATCAGCTGGTGACTCACTCCAGTGCGGCGCATGCGTCCTCTCAGCCGCTGGTATAGCTATACCTTCCTTAACTACTACGAAAATTAAACTGTGGTTGTACTCACCGACGTTTAATACACACGTTAATCACAGCTAAAAATAAACCTAGCTGCGCGCCTTAAACATTCTCAATGCAATACAGCAATAAATCAAATCAATCGGAGTCTTGTGTAAGTAAGCTCTTCATTAAAGTAGAAGCTCTCTCTTCGTTAAAGTAGAAGTCTGTTTTTAACGAAAGATATTCAATCTAGAGTCCATTTGTTCTTAATATACTATACTAGCTTACCCAGCCAACTTCGTACCACCTATGTTCATCAAAAATAATGTAGGATTCTAACGGTAAAATACATATTTTTTCAAATCGGTTCAGTAGTTGAGTCTATTCAAAACAAACAATCAAATATTTCCTCTTAATAATATTAATGTAGAGCTGTAGTCTACAGCCTGTAGGTAGAGGATTCTATTATATGTACGAAGGGGCTTCTTGGCGGGAATGTGAAGTGTGTCATGTTAGCAGTTTTGTTTTATTTTTTAAAATTCGTTTGGACGACTATTAATATGTAATAATGGCGCCTTGAAAATTTTGAACTGTAGGTATGTATGTATTTTTCATCTCGAAAAATATTCTAAGATATCGAATGAGAATTTTCAATAAAATTATATTATACCCGCTTTTATCGTGAAATGGTAAATTAAATGTTTAAAACACGCCTGCCGGGAAACTTTTATCTGTAGAGCTTGAAAAAGTCCGCGTAAAATCAATCCTGTGATTCATTTCAAAATATAAAATTCAAAATAATATTACTCCACTATGTTAGTTTATAATAGGAATATCATTGATTTTACATCATAAAACAACTCTCTGTTCACTACTAAAACAGAAAAGAGGTTTCCGTTATAATATTTATTACACAGTTAAAACAAAGTCAGTCCGTTATTTCAGTCCGATTAAATAGTTTTAAGGTACACTACGGATTTTAATTAATACGATTTTCATCAATGAATGAGTGTTTCAAGAGGAAATACATTGCACCGAAGTGAAGCCGGGTCTAGTCCCTTGTAAAAAATAAATAAATGTACAAAATACGTTAAAATATATTTATTAACTTTTTACAAATTAGTTAAATAATGATCATTAACTATAGTATAAATCTTCATCATTCCGTAGTCATACAAAGCAAATTACCTGAAACAAATTGCTGTGCTAGACAGCCTAATATTTTTGTACGACAACGGAATCGCAAAACTGTCAACACAACTTAAATATTTCAGTACATAACAAAAATCATTATTTAAATTATACGGTTCTGGGCCCTGCCTCCATTTTAAGGAATAGACTCAATCCAAATTTTCAATTTCAATTGCAGTTACTCAGTCATAATATTGTGGTGTTAAGGTATATCTAGTGGTAGATCTACTCGTATTCCATGATCAAGCACATCATATTGAAGACAAATAAATGCATATAGGCATACAAAAATGGAGGCAGGACTCATTAGTGTTAGAGCTTAAATTAGTCTTCAGACAAAAAAGAGACAGAACAGGTATGCACCATTCCCAGAGATATGCCTGAAAGTGGAAAAGCTATCTAAATTCTTCACCGAATAAAGATGGAATTTTCATTGTCACAACCAAAAATACATTTAGTAATCAACATTTCGTGAAGATGCATAATTGTTTAATTGCAATAACATATGAGCGTTTCTAAAAATAAATAAATGACATTTATAAGTGTTACATAACATGTTTTAAATAGAAGAAGGTCAACTAAAACGGGAACGCACGATTTTAATTGATTTTAATGCGGCTTATTTGGAGCTTTTTTCAAATCTCTTCTCCGTATTTTTGAGCTCTGTAAATCTCAATAATTTGATACTTTATTTATTGAGAAGACAGATAGTACGAATAATATAACTGATATAAGTAACAGATAACAGTTTTTGCAATAAGTCAATGATTGATTTGATTAATCGGTGGACCGATTAATTGTGTGCCACCTTATTAAAAATAACATATTACCTATCTGCAGCTGCAATGTTTATCGGAACGTAGGTTATTTAACGTATATTAACAACTAAATGTAATGTAAGTATTGTACATTTTTGAGATTTCTATACATATATAATGTGAATGATTTGTTCTTACACAATGTTTCTGAGTCGTTGCTTAATCTATGAAACATTTAAAAATTCGTTTTGTTCAAAATAATTTCGTAAGACTAGTCTAAACTTAAAAATAAGATAAGATAGAATTATAAATAATTAGGTAATCATTTAGATTTAGAAACATAATAATAATTGCATGTGAAAACTTGTAACATTAAGTGTATGCGTGAAAATCGTGAGAATGTAGGTAGTAAAATATTTGGTACCTACTTTAGTGTTTGAAATTAATTAAATTATTTGGAAATTGTTGTCATGTGACTTATTGATTTAATATCAGAATTATCATTCTGTATCACATAATTTTAAATCTATTTCTATGTAAGGCACTCAAAAAGGTATCTTAAAGTGAATGTGTTATTTACATAATTTATGTAAAACACTGTAATCTTAAATAATGTAAACATGCTTTGTGTAGGTACCTATTTAACTATAAGTAAACTACTCTATGTCTATGGCCATAGGAGTAACAATATATCGGTACTAACATTTAAATAATTGCATGCTCAAACCTGTATTTTGTAAAAAATGTGCTTTCGAAATTTCAAATAGGTATTTTTTTACAACGCTGCATGCACACAAATATCGAAAGTTTATCAGCTTAGTAAAACATTTTTTTACAAAAATATACTGATATCTATTTCTTTAACCTTTGTGTAGTTTTATACATTATAAATGATGACTACAAGATTTGTGTACACAATTAAAAATTACACTTATTCAGTAAAATGATAAAGTGCGTGCAACGCCCAATTTAACAAGTGCCCAACACGTCATGCTCTACTTGTGTCCATTCAAGTTTTTATTAAGTGTAATAAATTATTAAATTAGGAAAAACAACAATAAATCTTACCAGTGTGTGTAACGTAATATTTTTCAATTATTTCATTTAGAAATCCTAATTCATTAACAATAATCATCTGATAATTGTATAGTAGTAACAATAGTGCTGGTCACTTGATGTAATTAGGGTCCCATCGGTTTACTGAGGTTACGTGTACTGGCCGCCCGGCGCAGACGCTGCTCACGCCGCCACACCCACTGTACTTTTGTGCTCTTTGAACAATATGAAAGCGCTCGCTGCGTACGCGGCCGTGTTGAAGATACCGAACACCTGCACAAACAAGCAAATATTATTTATGCAACTGAAATCGGAGCCGAGCTTGTGAAATACCATTTGAAAACTAAGTTAGCTAACTGGTACTCAATAACACTTTGAAGGGAAATGATTGACGCTGCATTGTCTGAGATAGGATCATAGGATGTACGGACGACAGCACGTCGAGTTAAACACTGTGACATTTCTTGCGTTAGAAATAGGTGCTATTTTGCAATAAAAATGTTTAGTTTGGTGATATCGATTTTAAAAGATTAATGTGTTGCATTGTGCTTCTAATGATAATTTATTGCTAGAAATTAAGACAACAAACAATAAATGTTAATAAGAAACACACTAGTGAGACTCTCTGTAAAAAGATTTAACGTTTGTGTAGGATAGATTTTACATATCTCTTATTTATTTTCAGAAGCAATTTCATCTATTTTCATGTAAATACAGTACATAAAGGAATACTTACAGCAGCAGCGACATTAGCACCGTAAAACGATGAGTAAGTATGAGCAGTCGCAGCGAACAGCACTATGAAAGCTATCAGGTACAGAACAGCTTGGATGGCCGTGCCTATCAGCTCCTGTAATATAAAACAAGAAAGCTTTCAGTGGAAAATAATGCAACGAGAAAGAGTATTTATGATAAGTAAGTGAAGGTTATTAACATCAGGAAACTTCTATCTCTTAGTAGAAATTATGATTCACCGTTGTTAGAGATACTAATCTTAAGTCATATTGATTATAGAACTCTACATTATGTATTTTATCATGAAAATATGGAATGAAGAGCAAATCTCTTTCTAAAACTTAACATTGGCGATAAAAATACTGATACATCTTGTCTGTCATTGTTATAAGAGTGAATCATAGAGATACTCACAGATAAAACCCAGTTGATAGGTATCTTCAAGGCCTCCCTGATGCTCAGAAGGTACACGAAACTCCACATCAGCGTGGTGATAAAGCAGGTGACTGCCACGAACACGAACCACGTCGAGTACCACGGCGACGCCAGCGCCATGCACAGAATACCTAAGATCTGGAAAAATTGAAAGATTCTTTTGTTAATAAAAGCTCATTTATGAAGAAATACGTGGAAGTCAACAGTTTCACTAAGAAAATGGTAAAGCTGGTAGTAAACTCATAACCACACGGCAGAAACCTCGTAGAACCATATTAAATAAAAGGTAAGTATAATTTGTCATTTATAAACTTAAGTTTGTTAGGACGAAAGTTTGATAAATAACCACTCGTTATTTAATAATTACGAGTGTCTGTATGGTTAGTGTTATGCAATGTCTCGCCTCTGCCAAAAATATACACCGCTTTTACCTTTCTCTACATCATTTTTCTTTACTTTTTCGGCGTATATTATAGATACTATCAAGTCAAATGATTAATCTTTTCATATAAACATGGTTGTACATATTATGTTTCTACGAGCAACGTCCACCAACAACAAATAAATCGGTGATAAGTACCTAACGTCATTCAACAGGAAAATAACACGATTAATTTCCTTCATAAGGAAAATGTTTTTCTTTTTTGCTTGATCTGGAATCACATTTAATCTTATAATTTCGCTACATTCTACATTCATGGCTCTTATTAACTAATTCACTTGGAATATTGAATTAAACCTTTAGTTTCTTCGCAGAATAATATCATCTCAGCTGCGTCTGGAGACGAAAAATGATCTGATTCTAGTAAAATGTAAAAAATAGCGGTAACATCCCGGTACCACTAGGGCAACGGTGCGAGGTAAATGTGAGGCATGGCGGGCGCTGCGCCCGCGCAACCGGTTCCACGCGACCCATTGCCGGAACCGCTGGCCTGTCGCAATGCAACATAACAGGTGTTATTTGTAGAAATTTCAACCAATAACCGGACTTCTCTATGAGCATTGCCAATAATTCGTACCGTTCACCTACCCCACATAAATGGCCAATTTTGTAGGAACTTAGCTCATTTCATCAAGCTAGTCTTGGCTTGGCATAATTCAAACACCTACAATACATAACGTAAGTCAAAACCAACCTCTTTCGTCCAACTTGCACTCGAGAGTGGACGTGTTGTCTGCTACTGAGTGTGATTCCAGCGTGAGTGCGCGTGATTTTGGTGTCTACGTAACGTGTTTCTAATTGCGATAAGTGCTATAATCCTGTGAATAGTGCAACCATCAAAAATACTATTTCGCAACATTCACGCGCGGCAACCGGCTGCGGACTTGCGGGGCGCCTTACCTCTCCCCCGCTACGATAAGAGACAGCTGCCATAATTGCCGTCCCGCTCAAGCGCCGCTTGCGCCGTCCGTTGGGGTTTGGATTGTTTACTTGCGTAAGAAGCTCCGATTTTGAACTTAATTACAATGAATCAGTGCGCTGCTTGTCGTTCTACATTGACCGATAGTGATCGCATGGAATGCGGTGCCTGTGCGTCATCATATCACAGCTTATGCGTTGCTATTTCCGCTGAAGACCTAGGTAATTTATCGGCTAAGGCTAAGAGGGACTGGTTATGTCCCGAGTGCCGGACTAGGAGGCCGCGCAGCGATAACTCTAACACTCCGGTTCGTCCATCTACACCTAGCAATATGAATCCCGATGCAAATGTTACAGTGCGCCGCAAGAAACCTCAATCACTCATTGAACCGGCCGGTGACACAAATGTATCACGTTCGGAATTGCGTACTATAATTCAGGAGGAGCTGCGTGCTGTAATGAGAGATTTTACATGCGAACTAAAGAGTGATTGGAACAGACAGTTGAAGGCTATTAGAGGCGAGATCTCCGGACTTACGGAATCGATTCAATTCATGAATGACTCGTTTGAATCATTCAAAACGGATTTGAGCCATTGTATGACTAAAATCAACTCAATTGAGAAGGATAGGGACATGATACGGAGTGAATTAAATTCTATCACCAACCGCCTCAACCAGATTGAACAAATATCTCGTTCTTCGAACTTGGAGATCCAATGTGTTCCGGAGCATAAGTCTGAGAATTTGCTGACAATCGTGACACAACTAGGCAAGGCCGTGTCTTGTCCCATATCGGAGTCAGATGTCCATTATTGCTCGCGTACCGCAAAGAAAAACCCCGAGAGTCCTCGCCCCCGTTCCATCCTGGTTAAGTTAAGCAGCCCTCGCAACCGGGACTCCCTGTTGGCAGCCGTGATGAAATACAATAAAAGTCATCCTCAGGATAGATTAAACACGGGACATGTGGGGCTTAAGTCAGACAAGAGAACACCAATATACGTAGTGGAAAATCTGTCACCTGACAACAAGTTTCTTCATGGTATGGCTCGGAACCGGGCGAAGGAACTCCAATACAAACATGTATGGGTTCGAGGCGGACGCATATATATGCGTAAAACAGATACGTCTGAATATGTCCTGGTTCGTAGCGCGGCGACGCTGGATAGTTTAGCTTAAGTTAGGTACTAATTATAATTATATAGTTTCTTTAAAACTGGAGTACAATATTTCTAATAGTTACATTCGATAAGTTAAATATATATTTTCAAAATGTTAGGGGTCTTCGAACGAAGACAACTGAGTTATATAAAAGTGTAATTGGCTGTGACTATGATATCTTAGTTATGTGCGAGACTTGGCTAAATGGCACAATATTTGACTCAGAAATTTTGGACGATCGATTCGTGGTATACAGGCGGGATCGCGAAACTAGCGGTTTTCATAGGCACAAATCGGGTGGTGGGGTACTCATTGCTGTGACCAAGCGTCTGCATTCCCGCCGGATGCATCGGTTCGAAAGCCAATGCGAGGATCTTTGGATAGAATTAACCATTTCTAAAAATAAAAAAACTNCATGCAGATCAAAGATGTTAGCGACTCACATCTTTTGCAAAAAGATCTTGATAGGTTGTCTCAGTGGTGTAGTTTAAATAAATTGTACCTAAACACGGAGAAATGTAAATATATTCGTTTCACGAGAAGTAGGGAAAGTCCATCGCCGGTATACAGTGTCAACGGGCAAATTTTGCAGGAAGTGGAGTCGATTCGCGACCTGGGGGTCATTATTGTAATGTGGGGACCGGGAGTTGTCAATGAAAGTAGTTTATACTGTACGATGCGAGTATATTGTGTGTCAGTTTACGCAGCAACACCAAATATAAAGCCTTAATTTATGTTAGTGTGAGGGTGGCGCGTACACATACTACACCTCCCCCCTTTTTAAAAGAAAAAAATTGGATTACAATATTTTTTCAAATATTAAATTTAGTTACAACAGTTCAAAACAAAATATCAAAATACATTAAAATCCAAAAAAAAAATCTAATTTCAAATGATCTTAATTTTCATTACAAACCATAATTGTAAAAAGTAATTGAACATAAAAAGTCCAAAAGTTTACAGACCACAATATTTTTTTTTTAAACATTGATATTTTTAGAGAAAAAGAAATACATTAATGAGTTAACTAATTTAGAAAATTCCACATAAACTGATATTTGAATAGGATGATTTTTAGACTATCAAACATAAACAGAAAAACAGATTTTTAATGATGTTACAGTATTAATTAAATATTTAGATGTTGTAAAAAATTTCATTACTTCCTAATTAACAAAACAGTCAATATTTAAATTTAAAGTAAATGTTAGAAATACACAAAGTATGTGAAAATAATTTACATCACTTTTTAAATCCTCATTCAAATTTTACTTTACATAGTTTTACAGTTTACAGTTTTTTCCAAATTTTCTTTAAAAATAATTGTTTCAAATATCAACACAAAAATTACACATCGCAAAGTTTTCTTACTTACGATCTACAAAATATAAAATATTATAAGTACTTAAAGTATTACATATTATAGTAGTTGCAATGATATTATAATTTTATATAATATAATTGAGTAGTTGGGTCAAATTAATTATAATGTTAATAATTGATAATAAAATTATTTACTGTTTAATTTATAAAACACACATACTACAAAATAATATGTCATTTCAGTTTTGTAAAATTTTCAATAACCTTGTTTACCATGATAAAATAATGATAGAGTTTACAGATTAGACACAATTTCATGCATTTCATATTTAATTTCTGACACATTTACCATTTTATTTATTTAAACTATCGTAAACATGATATCAAGTATTCGTAATGTTCATAGTATTATTTTAAACAAATAAAATTGTGTAGTGGGATCCTAATATTGGTAACTTAATATAACATTACTCTTAAACTATCTCAAAATATTATTCTCAAATTATCAATTCTACAAATTAATGTTAAAATTATTATTACATCAGTTCCATGACTTCAAAATTGTATCGAAACAATTAAAACTGAAATATTCATAACTTTGCCATTTACTTTCCATATTTAACAATAATAAATATTTCTCAATCATATAACATTGCCTGTAAGGTTTTGCATACACAAAACACAATCTTAACATTTTTTTTTTCTAAACACATCTCAATAAACATNAAATAAATAAATAAATAAAACCTTTAAAAATATGTAATACAATTTTTATATCATTCGCTGAAAATGTTTTCGCATTTGTTTGAATGGAAGCCTGTTTAGGTAGGTAGGTAGGTACTCAAGTTAAATTACCTGAGTAGATACCTACTAATATTATTTTAATGAATAGACCTCTGCCCTATGGGAGGAAAATTGTCCTGTGCATTACAACAACCTTGAGGTTCGAATCAAGAGTGTTTGTAATTTGTAGAGTTAGTTAACTCAAATTAACTAAGTTTTATGTAATCAAATCACTAAATTCTCATGTATGAATTATTCTTAACATTTACCTGTCATCATCAACTAAGGCTGAGTTTCACCACCTAATTTTGACCGTAACTTTAACGACAACCCGTGTTTTTTGTATGGAGTTTGACAGATTTTTGACGTTTGTCAAAGTAAAAAGATGGTGCAACCCAGCCTAAGTCTAGATTTGAGTGTCTGTCATGTGTTTTCATTCGTGTAAACCATAAGGGTCATTATACCCTAGAATTTACCTGTCACATGAATGACGAATCTACAGATAGCGCTGTTAGACATAAGTCCCACTAATAACGTGAAAAAGAAGATAAGAAATCCATTTATGGATATCAGGCGTAAATGCCCTGTTATTAGAGCAAATATTTTTACTTTAGGTATATTGAGTAAATTAAACCACGGTTCTCACAGGGTATTACAAAAATGTTAAATATACCTTTTATTGTCTCCAATGTTATGAAAACACAAATAGCGAGTTGTTAGCAGAAAAATATTTGTGAACTCATGATATTTGTTGCAAAACAAAGTTGTACATTGAGCGTTCCCATCTGCTCACGGTGCAATCTTGTGACGTAGATCGGGGTCAAAAATGTGTGTCACGTGAGACGCGTGCGCCGTTGCACACAATATGGAGAAAGTGCGTCGCCCACCCGTCGTATGGGTCGCCACCGCGCCGCGGTACGACCATCAATGGGTTCACAGACCATCAACGCTTTTACACGTTGCAGTCTCGCTCCAAATAACTAAACGTGGCCGGATTTCCGATCCGATAGTCCTCGCTATAAAGGTACGGCACCGTCGAGTCGTGGGCATCCCTTCATAAATTACGACGTCAAACAAGGTCAGACGATTGCAGCTTGTCACAGATGCTTGGAAGGGTACTGTCATAGCATCAAAATTATGCATGTTCTTCTGAGGTCTTTGGGTCAGCCTCGATTTTTTAAAATGTAAGGTGCATATCGTGGGCTTTGTTATTCCATTTCAATAAGAATGGCATCATCGTTATGACTCTTCTTCATCGATGACCCTCAAACAACAGATTTTTCATCTCGTATGTTGTCATGAAACGCAGCGTAGGTTAATGCAAAAACATGTATGTTCATGTAAACGTGAAACGCAGCCTAAGTTCATGCACAAACATCACTAAACTAAAAAACCTTAATCCAAGCTGCAGATCAACAAAGAATATGTTACATCTATCATTAGAAACCAATTTTTAAGCGCTGCCGAAGCGTGTGCGCCGTGTGGTCATCACAATGGTGCGTATTTATAACCACACCTAAACTGGTTTCGTAAATATGAATTCTTCCTTTGTATGTGTACAAAATGATTGCGGAAAATGTATGCGATGACGAAAGAAACTAATTTACGATACTCTACAATGGCCATATTTATTACATTCATCATTTAACGCGTCCAGTCAGATAATCAATAGACCTATTTACCTACTTACTTAAATATTATCTTTGTTAAGGTATAATTTTATTTATTAAACAAACGTTGCAAATAGGCAGCAAATCAATTAGGTAGGTATATGCCTTTTAATAATTTATTTCAATCAGCACGAAAGAAAACGTTCGGAAAGCACTGAAAGTAAAAGTCTAGTCTCATGTCACGTACTGCTTTAAATGCAAATTTTACTACTCATGAAGTTCCAGTAGAACAAATGTATAATCTGTCTGTAGGTAAAGTGGCAATGGCGACTCTGTAGGTTAATTAATTCACAACACAGCGATCAATACTTTCTCTTTGTAGAAACCAGTCATTTATATGTTTATCGGCAAACAGTAAAAGTTTTCTATAGTTTTAGGTGCTTATTAAACATTCATTTCAGTTAAAGAAATTTCTGTTTCTTAAGTTAGTCTTCATCGACTTTAGTTATTCCAGTTTGTAGAGACTTATCACATTCGCAAACAAGATATAAGATGTAATAATAATAATGAACTTAGAACTTAGCCTGCGAAGTGTTTTCATGCATTGCATGAGTGAAACAACTCATTATGTTATTTTTTAACATAATAACATACAATTATATCTTACATTAAAATTTAAAATTAAAAATCAAGGTTGTACCGAAAATAGGTATAAAATATACGTAAAGCCCATCTCCGCACTGATATATCTACCTACTGAGAATCAAGAACTTAACTAAGTAACTAACCTATCTCGGCCAATGCAATTGAGTGAAAGAAATTGCAGTAAAGTACAGTAAGGTCCGGATTCTTGAACAAACATCAATCAAGTTGGTCACGCTGTTAATCATGTCAGTTCAAATAACTATCCTTAACCAATATAGGTACTACAGGACTAGATAAAATATGACGATTCAATTACTTAAAAATATTATTCAATTAAATAAAATTCATTTTTGTTCCAGAAATACTAAACATTATGATATCATTCAACTGCAGGAAGTAACTATGACTTATACAGATATACATTTTACATAAAAAAGTTAATATTTTTACAGCCAGATATCTTTACACTCTGTCAATTCAATAAGCACCATGTGAAGTTACATCGTGATAAGAAAAATCGGTCGACCGATTTGACGCACATATAAAATAACTACGATAGCTGCATGTTTATGGTGGCAATGCAAACACATTTAAATATATGCAAAGTTGTCTCAAGAACACTGCCAGGAGCATAATATTGGTCATCCAAATATATTAAACAGCTACGAACACGTCATCTCTATGAAAACGTGACCTTACGCGCCAGTATAACTCTCTGATGTCATCAATCAAGTGGTGTTACGAAGTAAACTGAAGACAATGTTTTAAAGCAGACTTCATTAGAGTTAGACATGTCATCCGTGACGGCATCAAGGACATCGAACTCTATCGAATTAGGTAGTAGGTAAGACAACTGTTATAATAGGTAAGCACACAAACTTAGCGCTTAGTGCAAATACTTAAGAGTGGTTTGTTGAATTTAGTTTCTAGGTAAAATGCCTACTTTATGATCTTAACATTACTGTACATAGACACACTTTATTATTAAACCACCTGTCACTTTGCTCTACCGCTACGGTCACAATAAAACTTATCTATCACGACT